CGTGGTTTTGTCACGTCAGCAAAAAGTTTGTGAAATTACAATTTCAATACAATAAAAAATTAGAGAAATTACCATCATTGCCATGTCAGTAAAATTCTCACTAGTACAAAACAGGTCAGCCCAAACGGTTGAAACCGTTTGGGAAAACCCCCTCTCTAACGGTTCTAACCGTTTGGACGACATAAAGTAACTGTTTGGGCTAAAGCCGTTGGAGACGAGTTGGCCCCAATGGTCGTCCAAACGGTTTTAACCGTTTGGGCAAAATCCCAAACAGTTACAACCGTTTGGGATGTTGCCTAAACGGTTGAAACCGTTTGGGTGAAAAATTGCCCAAACGGTTTCAACCTTTTGGGTCAAATTTTACCCCAAACGGTTACATCCGTTTGGGCAATTTATCGCTCAACCGGTTTTAACCGTTTGGGCCAAATTTTAGCCCGTCTGGGCTAACATTTGACCCAAACGGTTGAAACCGTTTGGGCAAAAGTTAGCCCAAACGGTTTCAACCGTTTGGGCTATTTATTTTAATAGTTTTAAAATTTTGGCTTCTTTATTTATTTTTCATCTGTTTATATACACATCTCACATAATAAGTACTCAACATCTCACAATGAAATTAAAATATTATCATACTTTTCTAAATATCCGATGTTATATATTCATACACAATGTTTACTCAATATACTTAGAAACAAAACATATACATACACAATGTACTCAATATCTCACAATGAAAAGCATATAATATTATATACTTGTCTCTAATATCCAAAATGTCCAACATAATCAATCAAGTCAAGAAAAAGAAGAAATTCCGCGAAGAATGTCCTCTTGGGACAAACCCGAACGCCTCAAGTCTGCAAATATCCTAACAAGATTCTCCTATGATAAACCTTGAGCACTAGAAGTAGAAGTGTTACTAGTCGAAGCGAGACGAGCAGAATGTGGTATATCGGCAGCGGGCTGAGGAATTAGAGCAGGATGAGTAAAAGATGGTGAATCATTAGAAGTGGGAGCAGGACAAGTAAAAGATGGTGGATCATTAGGAGTGAGAGCAGTACAATCGCCCTAAGAATTAACCTGTAAAGTAATAGCAATGTATGAGTATATATACGTGGCTGAGTGTTAAGTCTATACGTATGTTTATGTGTATATAAGTATTAGATGTATGTATATTTGTGTATGCTAGCGTACATGTATATACGAGAGTGTGTATATTAGTATATGTACCATATTGTTATTAATCCAATGCATCTGAGACCCAAGCTCCTCCTTAAGACTGTCCATCTTAGCTACTCGAGCTCTAAGATCAGCAACCTCGTGACGTAGCTCCTGATTAGAAGTGCTGATTTCTGGTATGTTGGACGCCCTCAAATAAGACCGAGTGACATCAATGCCCATGGATCTTTCATAACCACCGTGATGCCCTCCGTATCTAACATCTGGGTGAAAGAAAATGCATCATCCTCTGGGGTTGAATCAACCCCTGACGAGGTTGCCTTTTCGATGACCCGTTCCTACACGATACAAAGTATTCAAATATAAGTCAAAAAAGCAAGAGTAGATATATTTAATAAAAAATTAAAAACATAATAGAAGTATGATTATAGCATAAAAGCAATTAAATTTTCATGCAAGTACAATTTCTACGACTATTTCGTCTTTAGCTGTACTTGCTACAAAATTTCTCCTATATGAATGCTACAAAAAACATGCGAAGATATATAAGTGCAAAGTGAGTGAAACTATAAGGTATTTAAGTGCCATTTAGCGTTTGCACGTTAGAAGGTTTTAGTGCGAACAAAAAATGTTTTACGAGTAATAAGTGGCTAACCCGAGTATTTCTGTAGTCTTATAGTAGCTTCACTGGCTTATACACTGTCTTTATACAGCATACAAATAACCTGTAATTGTTCTCAAGACAAATGCATATAAATAACCTGTAATTGTTCTCAAGACAAATGCATATATATAACCTGTAATTGTTGCTCCATTTATTTAGACATTTAATCTGGAATAGATGGACGAACCAAGACAGTGTAGAGTGTTTTGCATTCTCATAAATGGGCCTCTAGCATCATTCGTGTATTTATCATAATTGTCTTCACGATGTCCTCCTCCGAAAAGAGGATCTTCAGCAGGGTTAGTGTTACCAAGAGCTACCTTAATCATTTCCTCTATTTCCTCACCGAGAAATATGTTGTCTTCTTGGTCTTCTTCATCTGCATAACTAAGACCTTCAATTTCTCCATGATATACCCAAGTTTTGTAATCACTAACAAAACCATTCTTCACAATATGAAGTTCTACTTCTTCCTCCAATTGATGCAACTTATTCGCGCATACTTTACATGGACAAATGAGCCTCCCATATCGGACCATATCGTGTCTACGTACACAGTCCATGAAAGCACTAACTCCATTAACGAAAATAGATTGCATGCGTTCTCCACGACCCATGTACATCCAATACTTATCTCTGATGTAGTTACGAGCCATGCTAACCTTTACGATGTTGATTTATTAGTAACGACTTCTAAAAACATGGATTTAGGGAATAAGCTAAGCATGATAATGTATATTCCATCTGTTTTCTTTAATAAGATAGAATTGCAATTACTAAGAAATTAGAAACTAGAATTTCTTAGCTATAAAAAATCCAAATGTTCTTCTCATCACACTGATCGGGAATCTACGAGTAAGAAAGATCTTTGTTTTATAATGAAAAGTAAAATTTCCCCTTTCTTTGGTAATTCATGTCTATCTTTTTAGTTTCTATTTTGAAACATTTGTAGGACTTATTAATTCCCATGATTTGATTAGCACTTACAGGTTTAATCAACCATGATTTGATTATCCATTTTACCCCTTTCAGTAGATCAATGCGACCTCATCTAATTAGATCAACAATTCCATTCAACGATTAAAATATTTGATGGACAAAAGTTTCTATCCGCTCAGACAGATAATAGCTCAACTCTCTCTCTCTCTCTCTCTCTCTCTCTCTCTCTCTCTCTATATATATTTTTTTTATTAAGGAAAAAACAACAATATTAAACAAGCCTATTTGAGATAATATCATACTCATACCCATTGAAAGGTGCCGCATACCCCTGACTACCAAACAAAATTCACCACAATTAAGTAACCATCATAATATTACCTGACTGTCAAACAAAATACACCATACTTGATTGATTAACCATCATAATATTATCTGCGTCAACTATACCTGAGGAGGAGGCGGAGGCACGCGGTGGAGGAGGAGGCGGTGGAGGCACGCGGTGGAGGAGGACGGCATGGGGAGCACGCGGTGGAGGATGAGCGGTGGAGGCACGCTTTTGAGGAGGAGGCGTGGGAGGCACGCGTGAGGAGGAGGGCGGTGGAGGCACCGTGTGGAATCGATGGGATCGTGGAGGAGGCGGCGGAGTGATCGAGCGTGGCCAGCAAAGATGAGGCGGCGGAGGATCACGAGGGCCGACAAGTGAGGCGGGGACGAAGGAAGCCTTGGCCGGAGAAGATGAGGCAGAGACGAATTTTTTGGCGAAGGTGAATTTGAGGGTGCAGTTAATTTGGGGATGAATTTTTTGGGATGGAAGTTGAGAGGGTGTGGTGTTTGGGGATTATATTTAACCCTAACATAACTCCCAAACAGTTTCAACTGTTTGGGAGGATATGTTCCAAATAGTTTAACCCGTTTGGGATTACCGTTTGGGTTTATTCAATAGCCCAAACGGTTTAAACCATTTGGAATAATTAGCCCAAACGGTTTAAACCGTTTGGGCGGGACTTGTCCAAATGGTTCTAATAACCATTTGGGCTGTTCTGTTTTGTACTAGTGTCTATAGAAGTTTGTGAAAAGAAGTTAAGCTGATGACGGAGTTAATGTTAGGATCTTCACTAGTGACTTTTAAATATTATGAACCCAATAACACTTGGCTAATGCATCATAGACCTTGAGTGAGATTTTTCCTTTTCTTTTTATACATTTAGAGCTCTGGAACGTTCAACAAACATTGTATTTTAAGATTTGGAAACAAGTAATCAAACACGGAACTCCAAGTACTCCTGTCTATCAACCCCTTGAATGCTAGCACTGTTCTTGTGCTAGAATTTGTGGGGAGAGGTTCTAATAAAAACCTCCTTAGCTTAAAAACTAAAAACCTCCTTCATCCAATGGCTAGGATTCAGTCAAACAGTCAACAGACACATGCATTAATTACCTCATTAAACACATGCATTAATTACATCAACGCAGTGAATCCAGATTCACTACAGTGAACTCAGATTCATTACCTCAACGAACACGTCCTTCACTGTAGTGAATCCAGATTTATTACCTCAACGAACACGTTTTTCACTGCAGTGAATCCAGATTTGTGTTCGTTGAGGTAATTAATGCATGTAATTAATGCATGTTCTGTTGACTGTTTGACTGACTCCCAGCCATTGGATTCATCTAGATCCAATGGATGATATTGGTTATTAGTTTTTAGGCTCAGGAGGTTTTTATTTGAACCTCTCCCTATATATATATATATATATTATATAAAAAGGTTTTTTATATTAATAAATGTGTGGCTAGAAACTTTGGTGGACATCAACTTAAGTTGATAGGAGTCTTGCTATATATATATATATATATATATATATATATATACTAGTATGTCATACGTGCATTGCACGTGATGCATATTAAAAAACTTGCATTGCACGTGATGCATATTAAAAAACTACATGAGTTTAAATATTTGAAGCCAAGTATTTTTTCACTCATCAAATTATGAACCCCACATAATAATTTAAAACCCACATTGTCAAAACTTAAAGAGACAAGACATTCGCCAGCAAATATAAACAATTAAACTAAAATTTCTTCGTCAGCAAATATAAATAATTAATCTAAAATTTCTAAGACAATAACAGAGAAAAGCACAGAAAAAGTCTCTACCAACCTCATTCATTAGACACAAGAAAGCAGCGCAACAGAGAAGAAAACGATGTAACACAAGCAATTAGTTCATCTCATGTAAAAAGACACAGAACCAGCTCCACACTTCATATACACTATCATCAGTTCAAGGTGCTCAAAATCAAAATAGAACCATTTGATGCATATGTCAAAGTTCCATAAGTTACTAATTTTGAACGGGGCAAATTATTTCTTTCCTCTCAGTTTCACTCCCAAGACCCTCTTCATTTTGGTAATTATTTGCTGATTTGGAATTGCCTTTATTGATGCTTACTCTTGAATCACTTGAGGCTTTTCATTGATGAGCTGCAACATCAAGGATGTATGTTACTCTACAATCTTCAGTGAGTCATTAATTGAAACCGGATAAAGTGACAAGAAAATACATGTGCAATTTTTGCTTGACTAAATTTTTATTCATTCGAGCTTGCATTATGATTTTCTTCAGTTCAGTTTGGACTCTCTCACCTTACCAAATTAGGACAAGGTAAACAAAACAAAACAAAAAAGGAGCAAGTATTATTACTCATTACCATCAATACATTCCTGTGAAAAGCTCAAAAAAGTATGAAACCTAGTATCTACATTAACAGTGTAGATAATATTCAATGAGTAATTGAAACTTTATGCCTGTTTCAAACTAATATCAAGTCGGTGTTTTCTCAAAAGTTATGATGCATGTTTCGAACTTTTACAGTTTAAAGCAATGAAACGAGAAACTGGAGCTCATTCTGAATTGGAGTTTAAAGCAATGAAACAAGAAACTGGAGCTGATTCTGAATTGGAAGTTGAAGTAAATGAAAACAAAAAATTCCTTGCAAAACAAAAGTCCTGTTGTTCAAGAAAAGAGATAACATCTTATTCATTTCATAGTATTTCAATAAACTTTATTGCAATGTTCAACATGAATGAGAATTTTAACTCATTCAACCTTTGGATTAATGAAAAGTACACGCATTTTCACCTGAAGTTCTTAAGATATTTACCAACCCACAACTAAATATTTGGAAACCAAGTAAAGTGGTACATCTCCACATAGATAACTATGGAAGGAAGTAAATACGTTTGTCTCCAAAGTCTTATAGCGCCTCAATCATGTCCTCTCACAGACCTTGATATCGTTAATTAAGCATATCTCGTGACAGCAGAAGATGTTGTAGTTAGGAGGACACATTGATAACAATGATTTATAATTACTTCTTTGCCCTTTAAGATTTTCATGTAAACAATGCTCAATGACACAACTAAGAATTTAAGGGTAACATCATAATTGAGCCTTTAAGATTTTCATGTAAACAATGCTCAATGACACAACTAAGAATTTAAGGGTAACATCATAATTGAGGTTGTTCTAATTCTCACCCCATGATGCTCAATGACACAACTAAGAATTTAAGGGTAACATCATAATTGAGGTTGTTCTAATTCTCACCCCATGACGTAAATAGTAAAACATGCATATGGTTGATGATAACTGCAATATAATCAAATAACTTTGTGAAATACCTTGGCAGATTTGAAGAGCTCATCGAGGACTTCAGATAAGGTTGGATGCGCGTGAACAACAAATATTATGTTCTGTGACATAGAGAATTTGGACTAAATATTGGAGATTCTTTTAAATGTTTCTATGAATAAAGAAATATATATAAATCCTTGAATATAAAAATATCTGCAAACAATACCAGAAATAATAATTAATAAGAAAGGGCAGGTACAACCGAATCTCTAATGGTTTTAATTTATAATGTCCAATTTTTTTTACTAAGATGATATTAATTATTGAACAAGGTAATATTCTTTGCAACATTAAGAAGGAACTCCTATTTATACTAATTATAATTATGTGCACTACTAAGAAAGAAAAAAAGGACATAATAATCACGTTCTGTGTATCTAAGGACTGGCTGAGTTCTAGTACCAGTATCTTGAGCATCAACCTCACCAACATGCAAACTTCTAATAACAGTGATTTATGAATTCTATATTATGCATAGTTTCTTATTGAGTTTTCTCCATCTCAATGGCTATGGAATATTATCCAACAACGCACAGGTAACCAATATAATAAAATACCTGTTTTGTAGCTATTGATGATGTGATGATATCACCAAGCATAACCTTTTTAGATCTTCTCATTAGCTTCGATGGGGTTTGCTGCATTAATTTCTCATTATGTTTTCCCATTGTCGTCATCTTATATTTAAGACATGTATTATTTTAAAAAAAAATTATATTAGGAAAGATTTTATTTTCATAAGCATTACCATTCTTTAAGAGCATGTGCTTCAATAATATTTGGGTCTAACAAAAATATTATTGCAGCCTTTGATGAAAGTTGCAGAACTCCTGTATTCATTATATGGTTACTCTTTGGTTATAAAATTTTTTGAGAATAATTAAAGTGAAAATTCTTACTCATATATCTATTTGCAATCATATTAATTATTACTATAATTAGTTTTTGTTTTTTCTTGTCTTTGAATATTTGACCTTCTTTCTTTGCATGCTCTCCCCATAATGTTAATACCAATGGATCCATCTTGTGTCAATTACAACAAATTGTTAAATGGATATGTTAGTATTTTATTTTTTGTAAGTGAAAATATATTTCATCTTTTAAAATGCTTACTCTTCATTCATTATTGTTATCTCCCTTCTAACTGATGTATTTGTTGTGTACAATGGTCTCACTGAAGTGATGAATCCTAACACATTTGTATAAACATTAAAATTTTAGTGAGAGTGAAGGCATATAGCCACCCGAACAACCAGCAATCTCCACGGAGGTCGTCCCTCTCCCCCTCCCCTCCTTTTTTCACATGAGAAGGAAGCTAATTAGTGGATTGATTAAGTGTGCCAGCATAATTTAGTTCTATGTTGAAAAAATAACAATATGAAGGAATATACCAAGTATATTTTCTGACAGGGCAAATCTCAAATATGAAGATCTAGTAGTAAATTTAAAAATTATCATATATTTTGAGGGTATATTTAAAAATACTTAATATAAATGACATAGAATAAAATGAATTCATCTTATGCTTGAAATCTAGGATGCATGCACTCCTTTCACAAAGAAAATTTTAAATAAATCAAATCAATACACGAAGCACTAAATGTAGGAAGTTTTGGTTAGGAGCAGCTGAAGTTGAAAGTGCAGTGTCCTCCTAATGCAGCACTTTCTAATAATTAGACAGAAGTAGAAAAGAAATTATAGAACAAGTTCTGAACAGATAAGTTAAAGTTATTATCAACTCCAAGTTACAAAGCACCAGGAAAATCACAATGAAGGAAATTTCAATTATAAGAGAAACTTTCAGATGGGAAGCACATGAGATTACCTGTAAAAAACTTGAGCATCCTGAAGTGTGAGATTATTCTCCAATAATAATTCTTGTGTGTAGCAAAGCAAGAAGCAGAAGACTAAGATAATTCAAAATCAGAATTAACATGAGAGAAAAAGAAAAGATGTTCATAGTCTACTCGCTAAGAGGTTTCTAAACTTTCACCTGTTAGGAGACCACCTCAAAAATGCTAACCTCATCAAATTACAAACACTAAAGCCAAAAGAAGAAGAAAAATTTATACCTCGTCAAGCTCCAGACCAATCTGAGAAGCATCCAAACACTAAAGCCAAAAGAAGAAGAAAAATTTATACCTCGTCAAGCTCCAGACCAATCTGAGAAGCATCTCCATCACCAAATCTCTCTGTGTAATCAAATTTATACCTCGTCAAGCTCCAGACCAATCTGAGAAGCATCTCCATCACCAAATCTCTCTGTGTAATTAGATATTAGCACACACACATCTCAGTGTAGTGTTGACACACAACATATATTCACAATTAAAGGGACGAAATTAATAAAATAGTTACCATGTAATCCAAATTGTGATGTGGAGTATCCAGTGCCATCACAGTATCCTAAAGTGTAATATGCTCTCTTGTACCGACATGGTAGTCATCAAAGTTATTGCAGAGCAACATTTGTGATGTGAGCAAGAAGGACAATGGTTATAGCACTCTACATTACCAGATCCTTATTTCACCACACAGGCGTTTATCCAAATCTCTAGCATAATCTGAATCGACGTAACCAATACAGATATAAAGGGGGCATATGCAAAAGTGGAAAGGAAAAGAAAAATGAATCTGTAGACAAAAGAGAAACAAACCTTCGAGACATCCAATTGATTATTCATTCTGACCTTATCAACATTTTGTAGCGACAAAGGCAATTTTGCATGGTTCTGATCTACATAAGAAGGTGCACTTCCCTTCAGAATTATAGCAAGTTCTTCCTCATATTTGTCATTACAAAGCTGGCAGCGAGGAACCAAGGAATACGATTTCATTACTGGAATATTAGATTCATACGCATAAGGGAAGAAACCCCCAAATGGTACAAATGACTCCATCAAGTTGCAGCATATTCCAACCTAGTATTAACAAATTATAAATCCAATTAAGATCACACATTAACTTCAAATACCATCCTCTACTAAGTTAATCATGTTGTTTCAAAAATCATAAGAGGAAATCTAAATAAGATGGAAGATGGTATAAAAAACTACTAAGCAAAGCTAGTTGAGAAATCGAATTTTGCCTTGAATAGGAACAAATTGGCTAACAAGTAACATAAGCTATCACTAGCCTGATATTATGGTCACTACAAATATAGGAGCTGATCACGATAATATATACCAAGAACATGAAACGCTAGCAATTGTTTTCCTCAAGAACTACGATTTAAATATATCAATAACTTCAATAGCATCAAGTTGGTAGTGAAGAATTCTAATCAAACAACATGAGAAAAGAGTGACTCTGCTCTATACACTCTGCTTCTTTTAAAATAGGACCACTGTGTATTACAAATATAATTAAAAAGAAACATAATATCTGGAAGCTAACCCAAATTGGACGAAATGTTTGTACTGAATGTAGCTGTTGGTTTGCAAGAGTATATAGCAGCTATATACCAGCTGCTAAAATTAGAAAATGTACCCAGATGAAGTATAAAAAGGAAGCTACTTCACAACAGTAGATAAAATGGCTCAGTATAATTGAAGAATTGGGAGCACATGATGGTTTAGAATCAAATTAAACAAAAAGAAGTTAAGTAACCAAAACATATTCTTATAAGATGGACAGGGAAGTACATGGTGCATTTCATAGCAGACAAGGAACCAGACAAGAACTTACTGTGTCTTTAATAACAACAGATTTGTTTGACTAATTAACTAACAGGTTCAAGCATTGCATATAATGTTAACCTGCACGAAGTTTGTAGAAATGTTGGCTTTGAAGTTCTTCAAAACATAGTTACTGAAGGCTTGAGTTGAGATGAATTAATCAAAAAGTGAAGAAATGATGAAAAATACCTAAATAGAAACTTAAAGGAAAATGTAAACAACAGATGAAGAAAAGGAAAACAATATTGTTCTAGAAGGAAATTGAAATACTACATGCCATAACTTGTGCGGTTGTGGACAATATGTATGGAGTTTAAAATAAATTAAACGAACGACCCAGGCAAAATATTTTTCTAACAGATAAACTTATACATAATGTTTTAACAGCTTGTGAGCCAATACATTAAAGCATTAGTTATTATGTGCTTAAGTTTGTAAATTTAGGAGCTAGTTAATAAACTAAAGCTTATTTTAGTTGCTGCAATTTACAAAGGAATTAATTTCACAGTCCTTTTGGACCTAAAGCCTGTACATTAAAGCATTAGCTATTATCTAATACTATTATAAAAGTGTCTTGGTATGTTAAAACATTTCTTCCCTAAGTGCCCTCAAATTTATGCTAAACCATATACATACATAACATAACACATACATAAAACATACAAATTTATGTTAAAACGCATACATACAAAACATAACACATACATAATAAAACATGTAGATACATGCATAAACCATAACTATGTATATTTATAGTTAACACTTAATGACGTTTTAATTGATACATGCATAATTATGTTACAATTTATTTATAGTTAACGCTTGCTGAATTAATAGTTACCTCAACGTATGTTGCCTCAACGTATGTTACAATTGATGTCATATGTTACAATTTATTTATATTGGCGTTAACACTTGCTGAATTAATAGTTATCTCAACGTATGTTGCCTCAACGTATGTTACAATTTATTTATATTGGCTGCACGTGAATGCCTATGTTGCTTGCTGAATTAATGTCGTCAGTTACAATTGATTTTTTCCCTCATAACTATGTAGTAAATGTTATTTACACTTTTGTCTCTTCTATCTCATATAAATATACTCTATACTCAACTTCCATCTTACCAAATCTTATCAAATCCTACCAAAAAAAATAGAGATGGAAGCAACACTATGTGATTCAAAAAGGTTAGTAAAATCATGTTTTTTGTAAGGTATAAACTCCGAATTATCTCTATAAATTATATATTTTTTCGTGAAGCCTGTCATCTGATCAAGATGGAACTAATGATCAAGCCAACATCGCGATCCAAGCAACACTATGTGATTCAAAAAGGTTAGTGAAATCATGTTTTTTTGTAAGGTATAAACTCCGAATTATCTCTATAAATTATATATATTTTTCGTGAAGCCTGTCATCTGATCAAGATGGAACTAATGATCAAGCCAACATCGTGATCCGAGAGTTTTTTTCGTGAAGCCTGTCATCTGATCAAGATGGAACTAATGATCAAGCCAACATCGTGATCCGAGAGTTAAAAATTTATCAAAAACAATGAAGTATAAATGTTCGTGTCTTACGTAATACTATAGACTCCTTTAAGAATGGAGAAGGGAATAAACAAAAGCTAATTCTAATTGATGAAGAGGTGATACGAATTTCACATTGTTATTATTTCATTTAATTATCATATTACCATGACTACGTAATTTATTCTACATTGTGTATTTTGCAGGGAACACTTATCCAAGCAATTTTATTTAATAAGCTGATAGAAAATTTCAGCGGTTTATTGATAAAGGGAGAGACGTATACTATAACCAATGGAGAAGTAAAGCCTCCAAATTTGAAATATCTAACAATTAATCCAGAAAAGGAGTTGGCACTCACAACAAAGACAATCATTTGAGAAACAAAAAAATTGTTTCATTGGAAAAGTTATATTTGGGTAATTAATGATGGATTTTTATTTCTATTAAATTGATTAGAAAATGATTGATGGGATCAGTGCAATTTAAGTACCTTTGATGGATTTTCTAATCATTAATGATGGATTTTCTAATCATTTGAAATTATGGTTTTATAATTCTTCCATTAAAGGTACTTAAATTGCACTGATCCCATCAATCATTTTCTAATCAATTTAATAGAAATAAAAATACATCATTAATTACCCAAATATAACAAAGCGCAGGGACAAACAATACTTTATGTTGGAGTTTATTTGCCACACCATGTATTCTCACATGGTCAATTATATGTTGCATTATCAAGGGGGATATCAATGAGAACAACTAAGGTATTAGTGAAAGTTGACCAAACAAGAAGAATAACAAAAACATACGCGAAAAATATTGTGTATCCAGAAGTATTATTACCTCAAAGGTAAATCACCTCATCAAAATCATGACTCATTATTTTTTCATTCTATGATGCACATTTTGTACAAATAAACTTTCAAACAATTATTATCTAACATACTATTCTAATATGCAGCGAAGATGTGTATTAAAGTTGTTAACTATTTACAATGCAACATATTATTATTATAGATCAAATTGCCTTGCTACAGCCCGATTCCCCATGGCTCTCTACAGTTTGACAAAGATGCATCTTTTGAAGTTGATGAATCCTGCTAAAATTGAGCTCCTTTCTGTCTATTTATATCAAACTTAAAGAAGATATGATTATGCTACATTAAGTGAACATATAATTAAATAATTTCGGTTACTTCATTTATTTATGGTCTTTTTGGTCAATATACTGGTTTTTTATATGCCAAATTAGTGTTTTTATGATGCTACTTAAAACCCTATAACATCTATTTATATCATAAATAATATATATATTATCTATGACATCTTTCATGTATATGTCAAGTAGAAAAAAATAAACAATGCAATAAAAACTATAGGGCTACATATAAACATGAAAGTATTTACACGTGCAACGCACGTGCACCATACTAGTACACCAAAAAGAACAAAGATAATAGCAATAGGAGACAACTTTTTTTAAGGAAAACTTGTATGTAGTTTAATAAACTACATAATTGCACCTTTAATAAAATAGTTAAGTGCAAAACTAAGTGGACATAAAAGAGCACACGTAATTAAAGTGTTAGAAACTCAATACTCTGTCGCCAATCAAAAATATCATCAAAATCATCGTTTTGTATGTTGTCAGTAATCATATGGAGATCCACGTCAATAACCTCACACTTGTATGTTAAAAACCAAGTACCTGTCCTAATGCATCCCACTTATTCAATGAATAATTAACCGCCCGTATTAAAATAAAAAAAAAGATCAAATGCAATAAGAAAAATATTGTGTGTCCCCATTCGATCAAAACATGCTTATATATATATATATCTATATATATATATATATATATATATATATATATATATATACGATACTCTCTCACATCTTGAGAGAGTTCTGCATTTCCAAGTAGAAAGCCTAGATTCAATTTCATTGATGGGAGATAATCAATCATCTTTAAGCAACCTATGAGGTATTAAGGATATACCAAGATAGGTAACAAGAAAATTACCACCCATACAATTCATCATAGTTGCAAGTTGTACGTTGTTGTAGTACAGAATTCGCTTCAAATACAATCAAAATACATTTGGAGAAATTGATCTGCAAACCTGATATTAATTCATACCCATAAAGCAGTTTCAAAACAATCAAATGCTTTTGATTTACATGGAAAAATACAAGCGTGTCATTTACATATTGCAGACATAGAATTTTTGGATACGTATCATCTTGACAAAGATCTTGAATTAAATTGGCATTTTCAGCTAGGTTCAACGTCCTAGTATATGCATCCACACCTAAGATAAAGAGGAGGGGAGACAAAGGGTACCTCGTCTCACCCCAGGGTCTCTAGACAAGATCCATCTATCAGGTTGACCATTATAAATAATCACAGACAATCCCCTATTTAAATAAGAAGAAATCCATGATAGCCATCTTTTATTATCAAAACTATTAGCTGTGAGAACATCTAGAATACAATTTCTGATCAAGCTTGTCATAGGCCATGGCGAAATCTAATTTCGACAAAAACACCTCCTAATTTCTTGTTCTAAAAATGATCTGATATAATTTCCTGGGTCACAACCACACCATCTAATAACAATCTTTTCTTGATGAAACCCATTTGACACAAGGTCAATCAGAAGAGAGAGTTTTTTCATTCAACCTATTTGTCGGGTAGGCGATAGTCAC